ACTTCTCAAACTCAACACCCAAAAAACAATCAAGTACAAAAATGGGCAGAAGACATGAACAGACACTTCTCCAAAGAAGACACACAAATGGCTAACAGACACATGAAAAAATGTTCATCATCATTAGCCATCAGGGAAATTAAAATCAAAACCATATTGAGATACCACCTTACACCAGTTAGAATGGCTAAAATTGACAAGGCAACAAACAACAAATGTTGGAGAGGTTGTGGAGAAAGGGGAACCCTCTTACACTGTTGGTGGGATTGCAAGTTGGTACAGCCACTTTGGAAAACAGTGTGGAGGCTCCTCAAAAAATTTCAAATAGAGCTACCCTATGACCCAGCAATTGCACTACTGGGTATTTACCCCAAAGACACGGATATAGTGAAAAGAAGGGCCATATGCACCCCAACGTTCATAGCAGCAATGTCCACAATAGCCAAACTGTGGAAAGAGCCAAGATGCCCTTCAACAGGTGAATGGATAAAGAAGATATAGCCTATATATACAACGGAATATCACTCAGCCATCAGAAAGGATGAATACCCAACTTTTACATCAACATGGATGGGACTGGAGGAGATTATGCTAAGTGAAATAAGTCAAGCAGAGAAAGTCAATTATCGTATGGCTTCACTTATTTATGGAACATAAGGAATAGCATGGAGGACATTAGGAGAAGGAAGGGAAAAATGAAAGGGGGGGACTCAGAGGGAGAGATGAACCATGAGAGACTATGGACTCTGAGAAACAAACTGAGGGTTTTAGAGGGGAGGGGGGTGGGGGGATGGGTTAGCCTGATGATGGGTATTAAGGAGGGCATGTACTGCATGGAACACTGGGTGTTATATGAAAACAATGAATCATGGATCACCACATCAAAAACTAATGATGTATTGTATGATGACTAACATAACATAATAAAATAAAATTTAAAAAAGAAAAAGACCGATACTCTGAAAACTATAAAATGCTGATGAAAGAAACTGAGACAACATAAACAAATGTTAAGACATATCTTCTCATGGTTATAATGTCCATACTACCCAAAGCAATCCAAGATTCAATACAATCCCTATCAAAACACCAATATTATTTTTCACAGAACTAGAACAAATAACCCTAAAATTTATGTTAAGTACATAAGATTGTGAGTAGCCAAAGCAACCTTAAGACAAAGCTGGAGGTATCAGAATCCCAGATTTCAAGATATACCACAAAGCTCTTTAAAATAAAGTTATCTGGAAATACTGAAAGGATCATTAACTCTGAGCCTCACTACAGGGTGATCTCGGTGGGCTGTGTGTCGGGAACCCCTGATATCAGCATCTTCAGGTCTTCCCTTGGTTGCATTCCCTGGGGAAGAGGCTCTCACCATCCCCTGGAGAGTAGCAATCTGCCTGACAATGTTCCGGGAGCTCTTACAAATTTTATTTCTTTGTTCATCTGTTTTGTTTATTTATATTCCATATACAAGTAAAATCTTATGGTATTTGTCTTACTCTGTCTGGCTTGTTTCACTTAGCATAATACCCTCCAAGTATATCCATGTTGTCACAAACTGCAAACAAACAACAACAAAGAGAGAAACAGACTCATAAATATGGAGAACTGGGGGCTGCCAAAGGGGAGCAGGGTAGGGAGATGAGTGAAATGGGTGAAGAGGATTAAGAGGCACAAACGTCCAGTTATAAAGTAAATAAGTCACCAGGATGAAAATAGAGAATATAGTCAATAATAGTGTAATACACATCATGGTGAACATTCACAATGTACACAATTACTGAATTACTATGTTGTACACCTGAAATTAATATTATACATCCATTATACTTCCATTAGATCTTCTTAATTTTAAATTTTTAAAAATCTAGACATGAATTAGAAATTTTCCTTATAGAACACATCTATGTTGGTCCATAGAACTGGTCCATAGTTCATAGTTGGTCCAACTAGTTCTTCCTGCCTGAAAAACCAAAAATATTTTCCACAGATCAAGAGGAAGGGAACGGACATTTACTGAGCCTCTATTACGGGTTAGGTACTTCCCATTTGCTAGTGTATTAATTTAATCTTTATAATTCTGTGGGAATGACATTATAATATTCTCATTTTTATAGATGAGGAAACTGAGGCTCAGAGATTAACAAAGCTTGAAAGTCGTGAAGCTCTGATGTCTGAATCCAATGCCCAAGCTCCACTTATACAGCTGCCTTTGTTTTGATTAGCCTCAGTTCAATAGATCCTTCTCACCTTTCTTCTATGAAAGAGCTCCACTGAAACAGTTCTTCTCATTCATTCATATGAACCATGGCTCTCTAACCAAATACCATAAGAAGTAAATAGAGTTATGTGGCATGAAAATACTCCTGAGAGGAGGCCATCTGTGTTGTGACAAGAGCACTATATAGAAAAATCCGAAAGCCTTACTTCCAGTCACTGGGTGACTCTGGACAAGTAATTTAGCTTTTTTGAACTTCAATTTCTTTAGGGGCACCTGGCTGGCTCAGTCAGAAAAGTGTGTGACTCTTGATCTCAGGGTCGTGAGTTCAAGACCCACAATGGGTGTAGAGATTACTTAAACTGAATTTATCTATCAAATATGAATATTCTACTAAACGAGCTTTTCTTGAGATAGAAAACAGAGATATTACCTATTTCACAGGCTTACTGTGAATGATGTATGTAGAAGTATTCTATGAGTGTAAAACACTAGGGAAATGTAAATAATTACCATTAGGATTTTGGAAAATGAAAGTTCTGACACAAGAGTTCTATGCCATACCACCAGTAGAAATGTTAGAGGAATTAAAATTTGCTCCAATTACTAGACATCAAATGAGATCCAGTATGTTCAATAATATAAAATAAAATAAGCCACAGTCCTGCTCATTCTTGAATATTTATTTGCATCAACCTAGTAACATGTCTCCTGAAGAGACAGAAACACATCCACTTTTACTCACTAATTTGGAGTGCTTTAATGTTTAATCCTTTGTTATGGACTCAATGTTTATGTCTCCTCTGAGTTCATATGTTTAAGTCCTAATTCTTAACGTGACAGTATTTGGAGATGGGGCCTTTGGGAGGTAATTAGTTAGATGAGGTCATGAAGGTGGGGCCCTGGTCCAATGGGATTAGTATCCTTATAAGAAAACACACCAAAGTTTGCTTAGTCTCTACCATGCGAGGACACAGAAAGAAGGTGGCTGTCTCCAAGCCAGAAAGAGAGACCTCACCAGAAACAGATTCTGCCAGACTCTGATCTGGGACCTCCAACCTCCAAAACTGTGAGAAAATAAATTTCTAAGCCACTCAATCAATGGTATATTGTTATGGCAATCCAAGCACAATAGGATATCATTTAATGAAGTAAGACTGTCCTTCATTGCTAAATTACGAAAATTAAAACTTTGTTATATATGTCTCCATAATGCAATTCATACGAGAGAAAAAATAAAATGTATTTTTATATAGTTATAAATTTGTATTTCATAATAAAGTGACAACACTATTTTAGGAAATCCCACCAACAAATATGTTATTAATTGTAGGAATCAAGATATCAAGACTTTTAGAGCTTGAAAATGTAAAAAAATCAAGCCAGTTTAAGAAATAAACAAATATGGGAGCACCTGGCTGGCTCAGTCAGTAAAGTATGTGACTCTTGATCTTGGGGTTGTGAGTTTGAGCCCCACACTGGCTACAGAGATTACTTTAAAAAAAAAAAAGAATTATACAAATATGGAAAAATTATCTCTCTGTTCACCAATGTAAACCTAACACCTAGAACAGTGTAAAAGGTATTCAATAAACCTATGTTGAATAATGGGAAAGAAAAAAAGATTTAATTAATTAATTAATAAAGCACAATTTCAGTCACTTATTTTAATACTATATTGAGCAGGTTCAGAATGTTTTCTGAATTCCAGAAAGCAGGACTTTTTCTGATGTCCTGCTCTAGTCCCTTAGCCTAGAGCTGTGCACACAGTATATACTGGAATATAAGTTGGATAAATAGAATGCTTTTTTATTTTTTTGCCTATCTAAATTCTGGCCACCCTTCAGGGCAACTGGGTGGCTCAGTCGGTTAAGTGTCTACCTTCGACTCAGGTCATAATCTCAGTGTCCTAGGATTGAGCCCTTCGCTGGGCTCCCTGTTCACTGGGGAATCGGCTTCTCCCCCTCGCTCCACCCCTTCCCTCTGCTTATACTCTCTTTATCATGTGCATGCACTCTCTAATAAGTTTAATTAATTAATCAATTAATTAATTCTGCCACCCTTCAAGGAAAAGTCCAAATTCCACTTCTGAAAAGCCTCCCCTGCTACTCTATCCTGAGAGAACAGTCTTTTTAAACTCACAACCTAGTAGCCCAGGCCAAGAATCTAAGAGTCAACCTTGATTATTCTCATTCTGTAACACCTCAGATCCAAATCTATGAGCAAATCCTATCAGTTCTTTTTTTTTTAGATTTTTTTTTTTTTTGAGAGACAGAGAGAGAGAAAACGTGTAAGCGCATGTGCCTTGGGGGGGAGGGCAGAAGGAGAGAGAGAGAGAATCTCAAGCACACTCACCGCTAAGCGTGAAGCCAAGATGGGGCTCGATCCCACAACCCTGAGATCATACATACAACACTGTCTGGCACAAGGTAGATATTCAATAGATATTTGCTATTATTATCTGTAAAAATCATTTGCCAACTAACCATGGAAATCCTTGAGATGTTTATTTCCCTGTTTCCTATGATCCACTTAAGTAATTTTTCCTCCTATGTAACTTTTTCCTCCTTGGGGGACAGAGATCATGTCTTACACTCTTTATGTGTTCAAAAACCCCTAGTACAAATATTTGTACTAGGTCTGGTTCCCCCCCAAAAATATCAAAGTATTTTACTTTGCAGATGGTAAATGTCTTTAGAATAATTTCCAGATTTGTGGTAAAAACTGGCTATGGCATTTCTTAAACAATAAATCACAACAGAATTGGCACACTTACTTCTGGCATCTGTCTTATCCGACTCACTGAGACATAAATCATCCTTGGCATCAGTGCTTCCCTCAACACCATGTCTTAAAAAAAACTTTATATCATTTTCATCAATTTCATTCTCATCATCTATGTCATATTTCTGTAGCCCCTCTAGTAGCTTTACAGCTGCTAAATGGGCAAACCTGTAGGAAAGAATCAGTAATTAACAAGATTCACAATGTTCTTCAAATTGAAACTGCAGTTTGCACTTAATTTAGCGAATTACACTCTGTACATTATGTCACCAACCCTACCAGTAAAGGAGCAAAACTGCACCTGAAGGTCAGTGACAATTCGACATACATCCAGCTCAAAGAGTTACTGGACACTGAGGACAAATAGTCATGTTAAAGGCTATTCCATAACTGTTACTGGCAAAAATCCAACTGGGAGAGGAGACCCAATACCAAAAGAATATGTGGGGTGCCCCCAGACAGTTCTGCTCAACTGAATAGAAAGCCCAGAACCACCCTACTTGTTACCTATACTTACTACCTTTTTGGATAGCCAAATTTAGATTTCAGAAATAGTTCTGGTTCCAGTTTCAGGGCTAACTATAGCTCTAGGCCCCTTAATTTTCAACCTTCCTCAACCCAAAAACCTGGCATGGCTTTGAAATTTAATGAAAAATAGTGACTTTTCCATCCACATTTTCTATTTTCTTTGATCTTTACCACATCTCTATGAAGCTGTTGTGATTGCATGTAATCTGCATGGTTTTCTCACATTCTTGCTAATTGAAATGTTTAATGTTTTCTCTTATGACATGGAGAACTACTCAAACACAAAATCTCAAATCCTATTTTTTTCACATACTTATATAACCACATACACACAAATATCCTTACCTTTCACCAGGTACTACACATAATTAAAGATATAGTAACAAACATCTTAGGAAGATGTAAGGTTAATAGAATTCATTATCTCTACTACTAGGTTATAATTAACAGCTATCATTTACTGAGTACTTGTTTTATACCAGATTCATAGTGTTTCTATAACACTACACACACATCTGGCATTTTTTTGGTGCATGAATTACAAAAATTCTAATAGATATATTGTGGAATCTCATTGTGCAAATTTTAATTTGCATTTTCCTAATGAAAGTGATTTTGAGCATTTTTTTCATATACATATTTGCCATCTGTATATTTTCCTTTGGTGAATGAACAATATCAAATACTGGCAAGATAAGAAACAAAAGAAACCCTCATCCACTGCTGGTGAGAATACAAGTTGGCATGGTCGCTTTCAAAGGCACTATGGCAATTTCTTATAAAGTTAAACATACTCTTAGTATATGACCCAGCAATCCTACTCCTAAGTATTTACCCAAGTGAAGTGAAAACTGATGTTCACACAAAAAACTGTAATGACTGTTTAGAGCAGTTTTATGCATAATCACCAAAAAATGGATATAATCAAGATGTCCTCTGACAGGTTACTGGATTATCAAACTATGGAATACTATGGAATTCAACAGCCAATGGAATACTGCTCAGCTATAAAAAAGAAATGAACTACAAATACACATGAAAGAATCTCATATAATTATGCTTAATGAAAGAAGCCAGATATATAAGCGTATGTACTGTACAATTCCATTTATATAAAACTCTAGGAAATACAACCTATGGTGACAGCAGATCAGCATTTGCTTGGGGAAGGGGAAATGGAGAACAGTGGGAGGAAGAGAGATTACAAAGGGGGCACAAGAAGACTTTTGAGGATGATAGGTATGTTCACTATCTTGATGGCAGTAATGGTTCCATGGGTAGGTACATATGTCAGAATTCATCAGTTTGTACTGTACAAATATGTGTACTTTGTCATATGCCAATTAAACCTTGATAAAGCTGTTTTCCAAAATAAAAATAAAGTGGGCCTAAATTGATAATGATCCTAGGTATGTGGTACCACAAAACCATGCTCCAAGGAACTCAAAGAAATCTCTCAAAATTGTAAGGAACATGAACTCTTAAAAATTGCAGAGCAATCACTGCATGATTAGCATCCTGTTGGGCCTCATTTGCAACTTTTTAGCCTACATTCCTACTTTAGATTCAAGCAGTTCTGGACCACATGCAGTTCCTCAAACACACAAGGTACTATCTTACAAGTCTTCCTCCATCAAACATCAGCATAAATGTTGCTTCCTCCAAAAAGAAAAATTTTCCCTGACCTCTATATAAATTGTTTCCCTTCAGTTTCCTTCCTAACTCCCCCAAAACTTTAAAACAGGAAGACCTGGGCACTTTTTCTCCTATGTTCTTATTGAACCTTATACATAACATGTAATATGTTACGATGATTATAATTAATAATAATTATGTATGTACAGTGTGTCTTTACAAGATTGTAGACTTGAGGACAAGGACTGTGTTTTTTGATCTTTGTAATCCTAATACTAACCATAGCAGTAGAGACACGCAAAGTACATAGGAAGTTGAATGAAAAACAACCAAATGAACAAATGGAGGGACTAAATTTTCCTTGAGGACTTGACCTGAATGAGCAGGAGATGCTCAATAACAGGTGTTATATTTAATTCAAAAGTAAATATTAAAATTTGTTTCAAAACCTATGTGACTCCTTTTGATTATTCCTTTTAATAACACAGTATTTCTCAACAGGTAGGGCATTTGGGTGACACAATTTTTCATTCTGTACCACTGTTCTAAGCACTGTAGAATGTTTAGCATTCCTGGACCTGACCTCACTATATATCAGTAATGGTCTCCAGTCATTGTGACACTCCTCCACACATTTCCAAATCCCCCCTCCCCACTAGGAAAGGGGACACTACTACTTCTCAGTTGAAAATCATTACTTCAGTTAGAAGTCAAGCAGAGAAAGTCAATTATCATATGGTTGCACTTACTTCTGGAACATAAGGAATAGCACGGAGGACATTAGGAGAAGGAAGGGAAAAATGAAGGGGGGAAAATCGGAGGGGGAGATGAACCATGAGAGACTATGGACTCCGAGAAACAAACTGAGGGTTTTAGAGGGGAGAGGGGTGGGGGGATGGGTTAGCCTGATGATGGGTATTAAGGAGGGCACGTATTGCATGGAGCATTGGGTGTTATACGCAAACAGTGAATCATGGAACACTACATCAAAAATTAATGATGTACTGTATGGTGACTAACATAATTAAATTAAATTAAATTTAAAAAAAGAGAAAAAATCATTACTTTAGTGAGATGAACTGATTTATCATTAAATGTCAATTCAGCTTGAAAATTGTCATTCCATCACCATTTGATGGAGTCTTATAATTCCATTAAATCCTAAGAGTTTTCTGAGTGTAAGAGAGTATATTTAAAACCTTAAAAACAAAAGAAAGTAGTAAAGCAGACAGGGATACCTCTTAGCCACATCGCTGGGTTTCTCCCCTGCTTTGTTGGTAATATTACTGTCTGCTCCCATTTTAATTATCCACTGCAAACACTCTATGTGGCCTTGCCCAGCAGCTGTTCAAAAAACAAACAAAAAAACAGAAAATACACACAAAAAGTTATTGTTATTAGTAACAATTGTCTCATATCTCGGACAGTAACATTAGAGAGTATTTTCATAAATACTGATCCTTGTAATAAGCAACAAAAGTTGGGCAGATGTCATTCTCTGTTCATTTATGTATGTATTATTCATTAGACAAACAATCAAAAATCTACTGTACTCAGCCCCTATACAGAGGACTTTACATACAGATATAAAAGTTGAAGCTCAAAGAGGTTATTTATTTAACATCATGCAGCATGCAAGTAATGGGTTTGAAACTATAATCTAGGTTTTCCCAATCCTTATCCAGTGTTCATGTGCTGCTATCTATAGCTTCTGACGAATCTTACATCTGACCAGAATATGAGCACAATCCAGCCACAGGGCCCCACACTGACTTCAAAAATCTTGTGTCATCTTATGTAAACAGGTTATTCTTCTGACTCTCACAACTCAAAATTTACAGGCCCCTCAGTAATTACCTGAACTGTTTACCACCTTTTTCTAAATCTTGTCCTTAACACATACATTCAGGATTAATTTTCACCTCCACAACTCTGTTTATGTGTCTTCTTGCCTAATGCCCAGCACTCAGCTATATGTTCATCTAACTTCTATCCATCCTTCTAGATCCATCTGAAGATTCAGGGAAACTGGGGGGAAAAAACTTCATAGATTTAACTGACTTTAGGTCTACTAAACAGTGAGACTGGAGGACAGGACAGAACTTAGCAAGTGGCTGGCACATACAGACCCTCAATAAATGTCTATAAAGTTGATGAATGAATAAGTGAATGAGAATATTAAGAAAATGTCAGCTTTGCTCTTACCAGATGTGTAAGCTCAGTCAAGAAAACTGATCCCTCTGGACCTCAATTTCCTCATCTTTTACAGAGATGATTTCATATTTAGAAGGAGGGTTCATAAAATTACAATAAGGATTAAATGTGATGACAGTTTTACACCCCATTAAGTATCATACAAACATAAGGTATTATTTCTGAATTCCCATGAACACTTCTCTAATAATTTAACCCTTATCAACTTCTGTTCCTCGGTTTCTACTCCTAAATTCCTACTGCATGTATTTTAAGAACCAAATAATTTTTGCCATTAATTACATCCTGACTTCTACAAATCTCTAGTTGTTCATGATTTAAGTATGTAGCTCCTTAACAGTAAGGTCTAGATCTCATAATGTCTACGTGGTGCAGACATATGATTGGTGCTGACTCTAAGTGCCTCTGTAAAATGAATCAAAGACTAGGAACTTTTGGGGAGGGGGGTGGGGAAAGGGGTTAGGCTGGTGTGGGTATTAAAGAGGGCACGTACTGAATGGAGCACTGGGTGTTATACGCAAACAATGAATCATGGAACACTACATCAAAAACTAATGATGTAATGTATGGAGACTAACATAATAAAATAAAATTTAAAAAAAAAGACTAGGAACTTTTGGTATAGCTCTAGTGCCTCAAAAAGTGAATCCACCTCCAATACTGGCAACAGAGAAAAGAGGGCACAAAGTCAGATACAGTGACAAAGTAAGAACTCTTCTGCCCTTCTCTAGTTCACTCAGAGCCATCAGAGTTGGCCCCTGAAAATCCTGGGCTTTCTTGCTCTCCCCTAGAGCAAATCCAAAACCAGTTAAAAACAGTACAAGAGGGGCGCCTGGGTGGCTCAGTCACTAGACGTCTGCTTTCTGCTCAGGTCATGATCCCGGGGTCCTTGGATCGAGCCCCACATCAGGCTCCCTGCTCGGTGGGAAGCCTGCTTCTTCCTCTCCCACTCCCCCTGCTTGTGTTCCCTCTCTCACTGTGTCTCTCTCTGTCAAATAAATAAATAAAATCTTAAAAAAAAAAAAAGTACATGATTTCCCAGACCTCTAGAAATAACCTCACTTTAGACAAAAACAGCAACAAACTCCATCTTTAAGAGTTACAAAATGGTATTTATGAATCATGGATAATTGTTTTATGTAAGATCAATGAGTTTAAGCCAACATTTCCATTTTATTACACAGGTAATATTTACAAAGAGGGGGAAGGGAGGCTAAGTAATTTCCCTAAAATGAAATACAATAAAAGGATTTTTACCCAAGATCCTTGTTGTATATTGGTTAGGATATGTTGATTAATTTTATCAGTGTTTTATAAGAGAACAGATAAAATTATGCTGTGGCTAGAAATTTTTAAGAAATCATTTGAAATACTTATGGCTTAGCAAATGAAAGAAAGGAGCAGTCACAGTGGATTTAACAATCATTAAATGACTAAGAAGAATGCCTCAATAATAAACACAACTTATTTACTGAATCAAAATTAAAATTAAAGAAAAAGAAGCAGAGAGATTAATAAATGTGGAAAATGTGAGTTAAGTTATAAAGAGACATCAACTTTTATTTACCCAATTTGGATATAATCTAAACATACAGATGTTCACCAGGAAAAGCAAATGTACACAAAACGCCCCTTCCCCTATTTGTTGCCACTTATCACCCTCCTATCACACCCCCTGATCCACCCCTGGCCCTAGGAATCCTCAATGGACAGACTGACAAGACAAGGGGTGAAGGGCAAACACTTTTGGTTCCTCAATTCACCCTCACATCTTCTCACAATGGCTGCATCCCAAACGCCCTATTGTTATATATCAAGTCCTTTAGAACCTACTTCCAAATCCCTCATTTCAATCTTAGTTCCAGGGGTGAAGAAATGACTGAGAAAGGCTGAAAACCAGCCATCAATGAAAATCCTTCCTGTGAAGATGCAATATACGCACCACGATCACATTTATCTTTTGCTACAGTGTCTGAATGATACCCCATATATACATTAGTAATAAAAAGTGGTTATATCTAGGATATGAAATGGGGGCTTCACTCCAGGGCAACACATTTTAAAATATATATACATATACATAGCGCACATTTTAAGTTTCCTCCCCATTCACAAATACCATGGTGAAGAATTAAACCCCTAGACAGCCAGCTAAGATGGAGGAGCGAGATTTTCCAAGTCTAGGATAGAGTGTTTGCCAAAATAGGAACCTCTCTGTGTGTAGGAGAAACCCCCTTTGCATTCCCCTTCTTCTTACTTCACCTAACCTCTCTTATAAAACTATTAGTACACATGATGTTTAGATTCTATACTGGAGATTCATTATGAAGTAAACCAACTTTAACAATTAAACTAAGAACCTAACCAACAGGAACATAATCTATGATTGGGACCATCAGAAGTTATTTATAAAATAAAATCTAACTTGAACACATGACTGCATTAACTACCTTACCTGTCTTTTTACTCTAACCCTTTTTTTTTAAGGGTTAAGTAATCTCTATGCCCAACGTGGGGCTAGAACTCATGACCCCAACTTCAAGAGTCACATGCTCTACTGACTGAGCTGGCCAGGTGCCCCTTTAACATTTTTACAAGAATTACCTGTCATTACATTATGAAATAACTTATAATATCACAAATGAAGCAGAATGGAAATTTCACATGCATTAGATTAAAGATTTGGTTTTTGATTTTATAAATAAAAGGAAGACTGGTAAGAATAAATCCTAAAGTACGCACTCCCAAATAAGGAGCTGACAATTTGACAAAGTCTGATTAATTAATATTTTAGAATTCCACAGAGAAGGAAGAAGAGAATGCAGACAAAAGTGGCGGACATCTTGAAAATGTGTTTAAATCTAATGTTCATTGATATTTCTATAAAAGTAAAAACATTTTTGCAGAGTACAAGAAGAAAATTCTGCTATACCTTTTTTCAAATTCTGCTATACCTTTTTCATGCTTTAGCAAGAATTAATAGATCACTTTTATTCCAAAGAAAATATTAGTCCTAAGAAACTTCTCCAGCAGTGAATTTCATATCTTATCATATCAATGTCTTAAGAGATTTTCCACCCGAATTACCCTAAATGTGATAGTGAATTTCTAGCATCATAAAAGGAGTATCACAATTGAATTGAAAATTAAGTACTCTGTATACCATATAAGGTAGACTGATATCCCTTAGGATATTAGGAAAAGTTTTACATTTTCACGTGTTTCTAAGGGACAATTATTTTAAAAGGTAAATAACTTCAACAGTAATTGTGTCAGAACTGAAAATGAAGCAGGAATCATAACTCACCTTTATGCAAAGGAGTTGATCCATTATTATCACGTTCATTAATATTGATTACTCCATCTTCTATTAATTTCTTAAGCATTTCCAAATCACCCTTAAAGGCAGCCACATGACCTGGAAATGCTAAGGCTATGAATAAAAATTCAGCATTTCAGTAAACACATGTGTTCATTCTTTTTCCCTGCCTTAAGCAGTCACACATTTCAGATTTCAATATTAACTCAACTATGACAATGTTATACTGGAATTAGTTTAACTGATGCAATGACAAGTAATAAAAAGAGAATCATAAGATAAGATTATTATTAATTGTGTAGCCCTTTCTCCCCACAGGACTTCAAACATGCCAAGAATATACTGTACCAGAACTATTCTTAGCCATATTCCATTCTTTCCTCAGACCAACACAAAACACAAGAAGATGGCCGTTTTCAACCCTTTGTATAAAGACATACTTGGTCTAAAGTCCTACATTTGCACAGACCACTCCCTCTCTGTTTGCAAGGAAGTGAAGAAAGCAAAATAAACTGGAAGCAGATAAAGTATATGTACATATACAAACACATATACATATACACACGCTTGTGTAAATGTACCTGACCTAGTGCCTAACCATAAATACTTGAGAAAATGTTTTTAATGTAACAACCACATATATTGAGCCCTTACTGAATGCCAGACATGGTAGTTAGCCCTTGTAAGGAATGCCTCATTATAAACCTCTTAACAACGTTGAGATATAGGTATTCTCATTTTTAAATACAGAAACAGAATAGCCAGAGTATTTTTAAAGATTTATTAATTAATTAATTTATTTATTTTTAGAGAGACAGAAACAGAGAACACAGTGAGGAGAGGCAGAGGGAGAGGGAGAGAGTCCCAAGCAGACTCTGTGATGAGCATACAGCCCAACACAGGGCTCGATCTCATGACCATAAGAGATCATGATATGAGCTGAAGCCAAGAGTTGGACACTTCACCAACTACACCACTGAGGCATCCCTTCAAAGTTTTTTAAATAACAAAGCTGGGGAAAAAAAAATAAAACAAAAATAAATAAAATGAAATAAAATAACAAAGTTGGAGACTTACACTACCTGATTCTAAGTCTTACTATAAAGCTATAGTAACCAAGACAATTGTAGTATTGGCAAATAAACAGATATATCAGTAAAACAGAATGCAGAGGCCAGAAATACACCCATACGTATACAGGCAACTGATTTTTTACAAAGCTGACAAAATATTTCAATGGGGAAAGAGAAGCCTTTCCAAAAATATGCTGCCATGACAAGTAGCTATATGTGGGGGAGGGGGGGACCAAAACATACATTTTTCATTTCACCCAAAATTCCACATAAAATTTAACTTGATGTAGATCAAAGATCTGAATTAAAAAACTAAAACTGATAAACTTCTAGAAAACTATAGAAGAACATCTTGCTAACTTTGAGGTGGACAAGTATTTCATAGATAGGACACACAGAAAATGACGTGTAGAAAAGATTGAGAAATTCTACTTTATCAAAATTTAAAACTTTTGTTCTTTGAAAGATACTCCACGGGGCACCTGGGTAGAGTGCCAGTTAAGCGTCCAACTCTTGATTTCAGCTCAGGTCATGATCTCAGGGTCGTGAGATCAAGCCATGTGTCAGGCTCCATACTGAGTGTGGAGCCTAAGATTCTCTCTCCCTGCCCCTCTCCTGTTACTCATGTGCACTCTCTCTCTCTCTCTAAAATAAAATTTTAAAGTATATATATATATATACTGCCAAGAAACCAGGCAAGCTTCAGAATGGGAGAAAATATAGGCCATAACATATATCTGAGAAAACATAAAGAACTGTTAAAAGTCAGTAATTAGTAGACAAACAACCCAATTAAAAAATGGGCAAAAGATTTAAACAGATACTTCATAAAAGATATACGAATGCCCATTTGAAAAGATGCTCAATATCATTACTTTCCAGGAAAATGTAGATTGAAACCACAGTAAGATAACACTACACATCCATTAGAATAGCTAATAAAACAGACTGACCATATCAAGTGCTAGCAATTCCATGGAGCAAATGGAATTCTCATACATATCTGGTGGGGATGTAAAGCAATACAACTACTTTAGAAAATAATAACTTTTTTTTGTTGTTGTTAAGTAGGCTTCACGCCCAGCATGGAGCCCACTGTGGGGCCTGAACTCATGACCCTAAGATCAAGACCTGAACTGAGGTCAAGAGTCAGACTCTTAACCAACTGAGCCACTCAGGTGCCCCAGTTACACAACTTCTTAAAGTTAAACATACACACACCATACACCATACCCCGTACACCCCACTCCTCCATATTTACTAACAGAACTGCAAACATATGTCTATGTAAATGTTCAGAGCAGCTTTATTAATAATAGCCCAAAACTGGGAACAATCCAAATGTTCATCAGGTGAACTGTTAAAAAAAATATATATGGTACATCCATATAATGGAATGCTATTCAGCAATAAAAAGGAATGCACTAGTATTAATATACTTAACAAGGATGAACCTCAAAATGGTTCCATTAGAAAATTCAAACTAATCTACAGGGACAGAAAGCAAGTAAGTTGTTGTGTGAAAGTAAGGGTGAACTTTGAGAGGATATAAAAAAAACTCCAGAGGTGATAGAAATGTTTTATATCTTGATTGTGATGGTTTCATGAGTGAAAACATACTTCAAAACTCACTGCACACTAAACGAATACAGTTTATTCTACATAACTCATACATTAATAAAGATGATTTTGGGGTGCCTGGGTGGCTCAGTTGGTTCAGTGTCAGACTCTTAACGTGGCTCAGGACATGATCTCAGGGTCCTGGGATTGAGCCCCAGGTCAGGCTCCATACTCAGCATGGAGTCAGCTTGAGGATTCTCTGCCTCTCCCTCTACCCCTCCCCCCATTTGTGCACTCTCTCTCTACAATAAATAAATCTTAAAAAAAACAAAAAAACTTAAAGTTGATTTTTTAAAAAGGATATCCTAATCAGAGTGAAAAACCAAACCACAGTGTGAGAGAAAATATCTATATCAGAATTAATAAAGGATTGGAATCAAGACTATACAAAGAACTCAAATTACTTAGAAAAGGACAAAGAACATGATTATTAAAAAGGGAGTATAGGGAGTAAGATGGCAGAGGAGTAGGAGACCTGGATTTCGTCTGGTACCAGGAATTCAGCTGGATAGGGATCAAACCATTCTAAACACCTACGAACTCAACAGAAGATCAAAGAAAAGAATAGCAACAACTCTCTGAACAGAAAAGTGAGCACTTTCTGGAAGGTAGGACATGAAGAGAAGTGAATGTGAGGCGATATTTGGGAGGACAGACAGCGGGGGAGGGGGCCTCCATTGACCGCTACTGGCAAGTGATAGAGCCACGGAGCACAAAATCAGAAGTTTTAGAAGTCAGCTCCACTGAGGGACGTCGCTCCAGTGGCTAAGCAGGGGGTGGAACCCTCACTGGGACAGTGTGGTCTCAGGAACCTCGGGGTCACAGAAAGACCGGGGGTGCCTGAGTGTGGCAGAACTCCCAGGGATCGGAGCAGGGAAGCCAGCTGCAGAGATGGAGCCAAGGAGTGGGCTCTCAGCTGAGGGTTACAATAAACTGTGATCCACGGCACAGTCAGGCCACTGCTCCTCCAGCAGGGACCCAACAAGCAGCAGATATGGGGAGACTCTCCTTCCTCCCCCAGGAGGAGCAGCACGGGAGCACACCGCGGGGATCTGCTGGGTTTGGAGATTCCACATGGGGTTGTGTGCCAGAGATAGAAACGCTCGGTCACAGGCCGGGTGAACGCAGAGTGTGGCCGGAGACCAGGGAGAGGGGAGGGACTGACTGCTTTTCTCTGGGGGCTCACTGAGGAGTGGGGGCCCTCAGTTCTCGGCTCCTCCGGGGCGGAGATTGGGAGGCTGCCATTTTCACTCTTGTCCTCCAAAGCTGTAGGAAGCTTGCAGGGAACAAAAGCTCCTGAGAGCAAACCCGAGCAGATTACTTAGCAAGGAGCTGGCAAGGGTGGGCAATTCCGCCTCCAGCAAAGACATTTGAGAACCACTGCAACAGGCCCTTCCCCAAGAAGATCATCAAGAACAGCCAGCCAAGACCAAGTTTACCAATCAATGAGAATGGCAGAACTTCAGCGCTAGGGGTATACTGCACATAGAATTCATGGCTTTTTTCCCATGATTCTTTAGTCTTTCAAAAATAATTCTTATTTTTATTTATTTTTTATTTTTCTTTTTCCCTTTTTCAATCAACATCTTATCAATCCCTTTCTTAAAAACCTTTTTTATTTTACATTTTTAGAGCCATATTCTATCCCTTCATAGTAGTAACCTTATTTTCGGTATATATATATATATATATATAAGATGTCCTCTCTTTAAAATTCTGGGATACAGTTTCTTCTAACAGATCAAAATATACCCTAAATCTTTAGTGTATGGCTTTGTTCTAGTCTCCTGCCTGATCACATTCTCTCCCTTTTTATTTTTTTTAAATCCTCTTCTTTCTTTTTTCAACCAACTTCTTATCAATTCCTTTTATAAAATCTTTTATACTTTTCATCTTTACAGTCATATTCCATCCCTCCATCATATTTACCCTTATTTTTGTACATATATAAGTTTCTCTTTCTTTAAAATTTTGGGAGGCACTTTCTTCTAACAGACCAAAATACACCCAAAATCTAGTGTGTGGCACTGATCTATGCACCAGCCTGATCATATTTGATCATATTCTGGTTTTGTTTTGTTTTGTTTTTAACTTTTTCTTTTTTTCTTCTTTTTTTCCCTTTCTTTTCCCCCGGTTTCAAGTCTTTTCTGATCTGTTTAGTGTATATTTTCTGGGGACGTTGTTACCCTGTTAGCATTTTGTTCTCTCATTCATCTATTCTCCTCTGGACAAAATGATAAGACAGAAATATCACCTCAAAAAAAGATCAAGAGGCAGTACCGACTGCCAGGGACCTAATCAATACGGACATTAGTAAGATGTTGGAACTAGAGTTCAGAATGATGATTTTAAAGATACTAGCTGGGCTTGAAAAAAGCATTAGAGAAACCCTTTCTGGAGAAATAAAAGAACTAAAATCTA